TGTAGGCACTAAAGGTTTGCAACCGCGGCGGGTGCAAAAATTATAAAAAAGTACATCTTTTCTCATCTCCAGCGTCTATTATTTTATACAACATTTATAGACAAAATACACAGATTTACAAAGAGGTTCCTACGGAGTACCGTAGATGTTTAGGGTGCTAATACCTTCCCTTTGCATAAACAACCCCCAAAATTAGATTCTTTCCACCTCTTTTTGGGTTATTCGCTCTTTTCTCATTCCTTTGGAAACAATAAAGCGCAATGATAATTTTTATTTTGATCTGTGCGAGTCAAGTCAATCCAATGGCTTAGTCTCAACATTTCTACCGCTACACAAACCCATTGGACACAATATCTTCTTGTCCTCATAACAATGATCCGACAAATTGTTATCTTCTGGTAGCATTTGTTTCAACAAATCAAGCAATTATGTAAAACTTTTATCCGACCACCCACTTTTTTCCTTTAGATTAAACAATTTTAACAACACATATAATCGTGTAAAACTGGTACACCCCTTATATAAGGTCGCATCTTTGGCGCTGCATAAATTATCATATAATTGGGCTTTAATATATGGCAAGTCTCCCATATCACGAATCATATCTTCTAGTCGATCATCCATATATTTATCATCTTTATCCATTTGAGATGACTCATTTCGATTATTATCCACTTCTTCATGCCACGTCCATGTCGTATAACTTTGACATATTCCATCATAACATAGGTGATATAGTATTTCTTTTTTCGACAGTTTGTTGATATTCTCGCAAATAACTGTTGTACCCCAAATTTTGACCTAAGATACCGTCTCCCATCTGCATTATTCGCATTGCAAGGGTTTTGACATATTTTATCAAATTTTCAAAGCAGTGTAAAAATTCACAACTTTTTCGAGTCGGAAGCTGTTTATTTGTTGAACGCTAAATTTATTAACTGATCAAGACTTAAACAATGTTCATTAATTATTTATTATCTTAAATTCAAATAATTGGAATTTATTTTCGATTATTACGTAATTTAAAGATTTATAAATAATAAAATAAATATTTGAAAGGAGGTTTATTAATTGGTCAAATAATGTTTATTAATTATTCATTATCCTAAATTTAAATAATGGGAACCTGTTTTCCGTTATTATATAATTTGAAGGTTTATGAATAATGAAATAAACATTTGAAAAGGAGTATATTAATTGATCAAGCAATGTTTATTTAATTATTTATTGTTCTAAGTTTAAATAGCTGAAATCCTATTTTTCAGTTATTATAATTTAGAAGAATTAAGAATAATAATAAAGTAAATAATTGAAGTTATTAATTGATCAATGATATTTATTTATTTGTTTATCATTCTGAATTTAAATGATTGGATTTGATTTTCAGTCATTATATAATTTAAAGAATTATAAATAATAAATAAATAATTGGAAAGAAAAAGAATTAATTGAGAAATAATAGAATTTTATTCACTTTATTCTATTTATTACAATTGTCATTTAAATGTTGTGTTATTACAAAATATTTATAAAGACAATTACACAAATGCTTAAAGTAAAATGAAAAGCTATTTTTCTAAATTCTAATTCTAAATCTTCTATCCAATGCTCTTGTCTGCTCATTTAATTTTACCTGCGAAAACAATTAAAAGAAAAGTCAGAATTGAATAAATAATTAAAATGCAGAAAATAAATTTAATGTTCATCATTAAAAGCAAACGGCCGGAATCAGTTTGCCCTTTTTGCAAATCACGGGATTTCTCCCGGTTCACAAAAAGGGAGGAATTTTTATGAATGCACAAATCATTTTTCTTGTCAAAATAGCACATTAGAAATCAATTGCATTTTTCAAAAAAATCTAAATGCATATTCAAAAAAACATACAGCATACAAAAGTAACAGCATATGCCATTTCCCACAAGTAAAGCTAACGTTAACATGCAGCCATATAGGAGAGTAACATAGGCTCCCATGCAAGACAAAAGAGATATGCAATTTCAAACAATGTGCAAGCAAGTATTTCCTTTTTTCATCATATTCCAGCCTATTGCTTTTTCAGAACAGCAGTACAGGATATCATTTTTATGTATCATTTCTGTACTTGAGAGAGAGAGAGAGGAAGAGGTTTAGTTTTGCAGGTTTTGATTTAAGCATGGAATAGGAATAAAGTCAAAACCATATGTAGCAGCACATGTGCAGAGCATCAGGAATATAATAATTATATTCAGCTTGAGCCATAAACGTGGGAGGCAACGGTCATATGGGGAAAATCCTCTTCAAAAGAGAGAAGAGGTCATAACCTGCAGGGGATCTCTACACAAGACTATCACTGCAAAACCATTCAAAAACCATAGCATATTGCTAAACCACATCACTGCAAAACTATTCAAAACCATAACATAAGGCAAAACCACAGAACCTGCATCAAACTATTCAAAACCATAACATAAGGCAAAACCACATAACCTGCTTTATAACCTGCATACTGTATCAAAACCATAGATGAAACAGTATTATCCAAAACCATTCAAAAAACCGACATCAACGGGAAATATTGACTTTGAATCCAACAACAACCGTTCACATAGGATCAAAATCAATTGCAGCAATCTACAACTCACTTGCAACTATTCAATATTCCAACCAGTTTTTTAGACGAAGAAGAAGAGAAGAATTAGTAGCAGAAAGCAAAGAGCGAGAAATCTTCGGAGCTTACCTGACTTCGCCGGAATTGTACCGTCGGACTAGCTCCGACCATGGAATTGTCTAATTTTTTTATCGACTTCATGTCATCAAAAAATATCGTGCGAATACCCTCATTCATTAAAAACTTAGGATAATTTTCCCAAATATCCAATTTCTTCAAAAACCCACACCTTTTAAGTCAAAACTTCGACATTAGGTCTTCGTATCTTCAAAAACCCGTCCGTACCCCTTTTCGGCCAAAACAATTCATTTCTTTAATCAAACGAACATTTTAATAAACAGATATTTCAAAAGGTTCCTATAGAGTACTATAGATACATTGGGTGCTAATACCTTCCCATTGTATAACCAACCCCCGAACCATAGATCTCTTCTCAAAACGCCTTGTATTTTTATTACTTTCAAAAGTATTATTTACATTGCATATTTAGGGTTTTATTTCGCTCTTTTCCCTTTTCCCTTGGAAACAATAAAGCGCGGTGGCGACTCTTGCTTTTGTGAGACGAATTAATCAATAATTCGATCTCCGATTTACCCCGCTACATTTTTTATCGCTACAATAACAGAAGGACAATGAAAGATACCATTATTGTCGGGAATATTTTTTTCAGGGAATTCAAGAGCTCATTTCTCATACATCGGACCTAATCTATCCGCTTACATCCAACTACGATCCATAATAAATTCTGAAATTGATATAAAAGTACCATTGTGAATGGCATACTAATGCTACACACACAATCTAATCTAAAGCTTATGCAGTAAATTTGATTAAAACATGAAAACACACTAATCCAAAGCATATTTGGTAAACAGAAACCCAGAACATTCAGAAGCCTCATAGAAGGGTAACGTACCAGATATTCGAAGAGGATGGTGAAGATTTCGTTTACAGAAATGATTATTCGAAGACGATGGTGAGGATTACGCTTGCAAAAGTGATTCTTTGAAGAGGATGGTGAAGATTTCACTATCGTTGTTACCTCGTTCGCTAGGGCATCCCATGTGTTATGAAAGAAATAAAGTATCTGTTATGTTTTAATTTTGTGGGAAACAATTCACAACAGATAAAAGATTCATCTGTAGTGAAATATTGAACATATAACCACAACTTATTGTAACAACCGTAGCTGTTATAATTTCAATTTTTTAATAAAAAAAAGTGTTAGGGAACGCGCGCTTATTTCTATTAAAAAATAGAAAAATGTTGACATTGTTATTCGAAGCTTGACACCTAAATCATATGACAACGGTTCTTTAAAGTAACCGTGATGAAAATTTTCTAAATAAAATATAAAAAAAGCGCGTAAATTATGAGAGATGACTGCGGTGGATAAACGGTCATGGTAATATTATATTACCGAAGGTGTTTTCTGTAGTAGTCCATGGAAAACCAAGAAGTAACTCATTGTACCGAGTTCATCATTAGAGACAGTGTATAGAGCATTGACAACTACAACATGTGATCTTCAATGACAACTCTACTTACAGATCCAAATCCACACCTCAGAAGCATTAAGTCACATGTTCTATATTGCAATAACTAAAGTGCAATTCTAACCTTTCCATACATTTCTGTCCAATTTGAAGATAGTAATTATTTTCGAGGGATATTACATCTATGAAATAAGAATGCTTGTACCAGAAGTATTCATAAACCATGTGAAAGTGCATCATAGTTAAAGATTGGTAGTTGGTTAAAATATTTGTTAAAAGTTAATTACTTACATCACAAGTTTGTTATGCTAGGGTTAAACAAGGAAAGTTGGACTTTGAAGAGGCCCATGTCTCTTTTGTTAATAGAAACGATAACAAAGTTTACCATGCAATGAAGAAATTAACTCCTAGAGAAACCAATACTATTTGACGCAATAATTTACCTTTTAAAATAGTTTATTGATAAAAAAAATATAAGAAAGTAAAACTTTAAACAAACTAACCACATATTTTAACCAAAAGAAAACCTTTCATAACCACAAAGGTCAACCCTATCTCTATCTATATGTTATTTCCTCTTGCACGTTTTCTCCCTCCTTCACTTTCTCTCTCTAGCATTGGTTTGTTTTCGGTTGGAATTTCAACTGTCTACTTTATTAACTTCCTTACTTAACACCATCTATGTCCCACCAAAAGATTCTACACCGTGTTTTCTCTTTTTCTCCATTATTCACTCACAACTTTCGGTTATAAATCCCCAACAAAACCTCTTCTCAACCTCTTGCCAAACCCAACCACTGTATATATTATTGTTTTTCTCTACCTATAAGCTTTACTTTTCTTTTTTATTAGACAAAATGGATCATTCTCTGAAATCATCAAGAGGCAAAGTAGTACCTACCACCACCCCAACCACCACCCCAACCACCAACAATCCAAATTCTCAAGAAGAAAGTGGATGGACAGCTTACTTTGATGATTTCTCAAAAGGCATAGAACCAAGTTATTGTTCAGGTGGTGGCTCTTCTTTGGTTTCAGATGCTGCTTCTTGTGCTGCATGGAAATTATCTCATCATCATAATCATCTTGTTTCATCAAAGTTGCCAAAGAAGCTATGTTTCAAGAAAACAAGATCTAAAATTATTTCAGATGATGACCCTTTAGAGGACACTGCTAGCTCTCCTCTCAATAGTCCTAAGGTAATATTTTTCTTGAGTGTTAACTAAACCGTTTTAAGTTTTTGTAGATTTTGTCTAAATTATAGACCTTGTTTTATTATAATTTAACCGTGACAAATATTTTATGATATTTTTTTAATCACGGATTAAACGTGTGAAATTTAGATCATATGTAATAGCCTGGTTTACACGTTTTCAAAGAGAGTCTTGAGTCTTAATTTGGTTTGTTAATTTAAGTTTTTTTTTTTTGGTTTTTACTATATCATTATTATCTGTAGGTGAGAGACTTGAGTCCAAATGAAATTGCTTCTAAAAAGATTGATGATCAACTTCAAGCAGGTTCTATGGTAAACCTGGATATATTATGATATATGCTTTTTCATATAGAAAGATGAAACAATATTGAAGTTTGGTTATTAATATTCCTAACCAATTATGCTATGGTTTTTCATGATCACGATTGTGTAGGGTAAAGGGTTAACATCATCACATAATCGTTCAGAGTTGCTGCAGATGGATGATAAGATTGGATTTGAATTTAATGAAAAGAATATTGATTGCATAGAATTGAAGAAAAGAGGGCTTTGCTTGGTTCCTTTGTCTTTGTTGGTAAACTATTTGGGGTGATCATGACTAATATTTTTTTGTCTATATCCTCTTTCTTGTTCTCCTTTTCTTTGTGTTCTTCAGTGTGGATCATTTTATGGAATTGTAAAGTATGACCAGTGAATTTACACATAATTTATATATAGTTAAAATGTTCATAAATTTGTGTTTATTACTTTGTTCATGAAAGATGATTTTCTTTTCTTCATTTTTCACCATGGTATTTATTAGTCACAATTTTTTATGATGTATTAGTCTAAATTTTATTCTAGATACATCAACTTTCTTTGCTAAATATTTTACATGGCAAAAAGATTGCACTGTATATTTTAAACCTTGAAATTGTAGTAAAATATATATAAAAGATATTGATGAAAGTGTAATTGCATTAACCATGTCATAGTAAAAACTTTTTTATTGAGGCTAGGGACCAATACTTATTATGGACTGTATTTGAAATAACCAAATGGTCATAAACAAGGTTGGTATAAGAGCCAAGCAATCAAAGTTATAACTTTAAAGTCTATTTGATGAGCATTATATGATTGTGACATAACATGATAAAAAGTTGATAAAACATGGTATAGAATACTAATATATGATAGACATTTATCCCCATTAAGAGAAGGAGATGCTGATACATGTTATTTCCAATGTTATGGTATGTCATCGTTGGTTCTGGATAAGCTTCTATCTCCAAATCAATCAATCTTTAAACAAGGGGATCCCTTTGCACATTTATAGATACTATTAAATCTCATAAAATGAACATGTAAATGTGAAATTTCTCATTAATTGTTTCACTGAATACAAGCTACATTATATACAATATGAGTTGTTCCTATGATAAACTACAATGCACCACATACATGCTAAGTTTACTTAACACTCAAATAACCAACTTTCAACCATAATAACTAACTCTAACAGTTTGAGTTAGTTAGTTATTGATGACTAACTTGTTTTCTTTTCATCTTCATCATTGGTGCATGTTAATGTATCTTTATTTGCATGATTTAACACCTCCCACAAGTTGATGGTTGGTATATGTCAATCAATTTCTACTTAGATAATAGCTCATTGAATTGTTGAGGGTGCAATCCTTTAGTAAAGAAGCCAGTGAGCTGATACAGGCAGCAATTTCACAATTCCTTTGTTTTGTTTCTCTCCCACAATAAGGCAATCAATTTCTAAATTTTTTATTCTCTCATGAAAAACATGATTGAATTATGTTGCGCACTCTGATTGTCACAATATATAATTGACGTTTTTTAACACTTCATCTTCAAATCATCCATGAGATATACAACGCACTACAGCTCACAAGTAGCAGCTGCAAGTACCCTATACTCAACTTCTGATGATGATTTCGAAACTGTCAATTATTTCTTTGTCCTACATAAGATGAACGATTTTCCAAGAAAGAAACACTGGCCTGATGTTTATATTCTAGTGTCTAATCATCCTCCCCAATCTGCATATGAGTATCCACCGAGTTGCGCAGTTGTATCGCTAGGAAACAATATGCCTCGACCTGGACATGTCTTGAGATAATTTTAGAACTCTACATACAACAACAACAATAACAACAACAACGCCTTATCCCACTAGGTGTGGTCGGCTACATGGATCAACTTTTGCCATAATGTTCTATCAAGGATCATGCTTCTATTCAAATTATTAATTTCAAGATCCTTCTTGATAACTTCTCTTATAGTATATTTTGGTCTTCCTCTTTCTGGAATTGTTTGTCTTCTCTATCTATCTAGTCTACTCTCCTTACTATAGAGTCTACAAGTCTTCTCTCTACATGCGCAAATCACCTAAGTATATTTCTCACCATCTTCTCTATAATAGACGCTACTCCAACACTCTCTAATAATTTATTTCTAATTTTATCCTATCGAGTCTTACCACACATCTACCGCAACATCCTCATCTCCGCTACACCTACTCTATTCTCGTGTTGGTTTTTAACTTCCCAACATTCTGTCTCGTACAAAATTACATATCTTACCACAATCCGATAAAACTTTCCATTTAACTTGAGCGGTACCTTTGCATCACATAAAACAACATATCCATTTCTCCATTTCATCCATCTAGCTGGAATACGATGACTTGCATCTCCTTCTATTTCTCCATCATTCTGTATTACGGAACCAAAATATTCAAACCATGTGACTTGAGGGATAATATGGTCTCTTATTTTCAACTCTAAGTTAGAAACCCTGCTTATTTTGTTGAAGTTACATTCCATATACTTTGACTTACTTCTACTTAGGCGAAAACCATGTGTTTCTAAAGCTCTTCTTTAAGTTTCCAACCTCTCATTTAACTCCTCTCTCGACTCTCAAAGGAGGATTATATCATTTGCAAAAAGCATGCATCTCGATGCTATCTCTTGGATTTGTTCTGTGATTACATCCAAAATTAAGGTAAAAATGTAGGGGCTTAGGGTTGACCCTTGATGCAAACCAGTTATGATGGGAAAACCGTTTGTCTCTCCACCCTGTGTCCTAACACTAATCGATACTCTTTCATACATATTTTAGATAGCTCGAATATATGCAACCCTTACCCCCTTTCTTCTCTAGAGCATTCCACAAAATATCTCTAGGCACTCTATCATACACCTACTCCAAGTCAATAAAAATCAAGAGTCTTGTTGGTCCATTCGATATTGCTCCATCACCGGCCATAATAGATAAATCTCTTCTATAGTCGACCTTCCCGGTATAAAACCAAATTGATTCTCAGTAACTTGAGTCTCTTTTTTTAATCTCTGCTCAATCACTTTTTCCCATAATTTCATGGTATCACTCATAAGCTTGACTCCCCTATAATTTTCACAATTTTGTATATCCCATTTGTTCTTATAGATAGGAACTAAAGTGCTTCTCCTCCATTCATCCGACACGCGTTTTTACCTCATAATTTCATTAAAGAGTTTGGTGAGCCACTCAATACCTCTATCTCCAATAATTTTTGCACACTTCAATAGGTATGTTGTCTGGTCCCACCGTCTTACCGTTACTCATTCTTTTCAACGCTTCCTTTACCTCATGTTTCTGAATCCGACGATAGTAACTATAGTTTCGATCCTCTTTTCTTATGTCTAGTGTTCTAGAGTCATACCCATATCCATCGTTAAATAAGTTTTGGAAATACGCCTTCCATCTATCCTTTATATCTGTTTCTTGCACTAAGACTTTGTCTTCTTCATCTTTAACACACTTTACCTGATCCAAATCTGTAATCTTTCTTTCTCTTCTCTTAGCAAGCCTATATATAGATCTTTCTCCCTCCTTAGTTCCTAGAGATTGGTATAGTCTATCAAAAGCTTGAGTTCTTTCTCCCGCCTTTTTGGTTTCATTTTTATCTATCTTGTACTTTTCCCAAGTTTTAGAATCTCTGCACCTAGACCACTCTTTAAAACAATCTTTTTTTACTTTAACTTTTCTCTAGACTCTTTCATTCCACCACCATGATTCTTTTCCCCGGAGTCTAAAACGTCTAGATTCATCCAACGTCTCTTTAGCCACTTTTCTAATCTCTTGGGCCATCTTGTTCCATATATCATTTGCATTTTCTTGTGATTGTCCAAACCAACCCTCCCATAAAACACAGTCACGGCTATATATATATTTTATATATTAATATAATAATACAATTTATGAGCAGAATATTTACTTAATACTTAATGTTCTAAATTTCTAATTAGCAATTCTTTGTATTTTTACTATACACACAAATATTAAACTCTTTCTAAGATGACATCACATTTTTATCTATAGACAACATCAACACGGAGTGTGTCTCAATGTGAGAAAAATACACAAAGCATAAAGGAATATCAAATGGTGATGCCGTGAAAGTGGATGATCCGAATTAGTCTAGAGACAATGATAGAGTGGTGATGTTGTGGAGAAAAATACACACAAAATAGAGACAAAAAATACACACATATTTATATTTAAATAATTTATTAGGAATTGTATATAACATTAATCAATAAAAATTCATAATAGAAGAAGGAAGGAGAAGATAAAAAAAACCTTTAGAGAGTGAATACCGAACAATGGCGGCAAAGATAAAACAAGGAATTTTAATTTTTTAAATAATTGTGTTGATTTTATAGAGAGGAAGTAAAATATAAAAGGTAAAGAATCCTATTTTTGAGTTGGACTTTTTTTTATATAAAAAAATCTAAATTTTTTGTTGAGTCGTATCATGTATTTAAAATAAAGTGTCGTACCCGTGTCTATTCTGATTCAATTTTTTTTCATTAGACACTTCAAAAATATGTCAAATATGTATCATACGAGTGTGGCACGAGCACCCGTGTCAGACACGTGTCTGACACGCCGACACGCCTTATGAACAGCGTGTCAGCGCTTCATAGATGAAAGATAATTCTTTTTTCCCCTTTATTTTTCTCCATAGTGTTTGTTAGTCACATTTTTCTTTTAATGTATTGGTTTCTTTGATCTATTATTTTTACTTATTTTGCTAAATGTAAGGCATGTAGCAAAAAGATTGCACTTGTAGTTATATTTTAAAGAAATTGTAGTAAAATACATATAAATTAAAGAGGTTGATGAAAGTGTAATTGCATTAACCATGTAATTGTAAAAACTTTTATATTGAGGCCATGGACCAATATTTATGGATTGTATTTGAAATAAGTAAATGGTCATAAACAAGGTTGGTATAAGAACCAAACAATCAAAGTTATAACTTTAAAGTTGCATTATATGATTGTGACAATATGATAATAAGCTGATAAAATTATAGTATAGAATAGTAACATATATATGAGAATAGGAAGATGAGAAGTGTTATTTTGACCATACGAATTTAGATGAATTGGGTGAAAATGATGTTTGAAGTGTGGGAGAAGGTGGTAAAACACTTCATTAATTAGTTTTTTAAACCATACTTCGATAAGCCAAAATTGGACAATGTTGCATTCCATACCTTTCATCAGATGACAACTTAATGTTATCATACTTTTCCCC